TTCATTACTAAATTTGACTTACTAATCGTGCTGCTTTTTGGTACATCACATGCAACGATCCTCGTACTTTTCCATTTAGATACATGCCCTACTAAAGATATATCGATGTATTACGCTTAGTATGGTTACATCAGTTGTAACCCACTCTTACTAGTGTTTCTAGATATATTTGGTTATTTATGCTCCCTACAGACTAAGTCTTAGTATTACGAATCGTCCTTAGCTCTTACGGGCCTTAATCGGGTCAAATCTAACCATCCAAAGTGAGTAGTATCGATACTCTATTTGTAGTATCGATACCCTAAGTTCTAGTATCCATACCCCTATGAGTGTCGGTACCAAAAATGCATTTTGTTGCTAAAAATGGAGCACAATATCGATACTGTCACCCTGAGTATCGATACTCCCAGCCTGAAACCTTAATTTCCCCCCAATTCATCTAGTATCAATATTGTTCTTCCCAATATCGACACCGATCCCGAATGGTTTATTTAGGCTCAGGAAAACACCCGAAATCACCCTAAAGGCCATAATTTGGTTCCAAATCATGTGATAATATTTTAGGAAGTTATTTGGGGTTATTTAGCACCTAAAGGACACTAATTTTACCATAAAAAATCATCTAGAAATAAATGAAACAAAACCCCCAAATATGCTCTAAAACCTAAATCCCCCAATAAGCATCATGATTAGGAGTTTCATAACACAACAAATGATTAAAAATAAACTACCTTAGCTCAAGAATCTGAAATGAAGCTCCTTTAAACACCGAACACCTCCCTAACCTCTATTTTTCTTGCAACCAAAGAGCCCAAAGCTTTGCATCATTAAAATGATGTTGCCAAGTGGATTAGGAACGAAATTGAAGTATGAAATATGCCTAAAATCTTACCCTTTAGCTATGGAGCTTGAAAGGAAGAATGGAGAAGAGTTGAAGGAGAAATGAAGAATAAAATGAGGGGGAAAAAATAGAGATGAGATATAAAACCCTCATCTTTACAATGGGGAATTTATGCTCTTAGTCCTTCCCATCTTTTCAACTATTTAAAACTCTCTTTTTATGTCTAACTAGGCCCCAAACTAACCCAATTAATCCAAACATGGCCTCACGACTTTACTTATGAATATCACGAGGTCCGCTTACTTCTCGAGTAAATCGGAAACCATCAACCCAAAATTTGGGGTTTATAATATTGTCCCCTAAAGTTAACACATATCCAACCTCGTATATCTGAAGTGAGAAATAAAATCCACTTATGTTAATCTATTCGAAAAGATTTTTTTAAAAAAAGAAATAATAAACTCATCAATAGTGTGTTCTAATTAGAGAGAGACTTATTCCTTATAGTAGTAGCACATAAGTAATAGTATAATCCATTCCCCAAAAATATTCCCTAATATTTATATACTTAAAGTTAACAAGAAGTTTGGTTTTGATAAAAAGATTCTGGTTTTTCGAAACGTGGATCTTCTAAGTTTTTGACCTAATTGAGACAATACCATATGATATCTCTTGATTTTATGTGGATCTTATAAGTTTTGACCTAATTGCTACCAAACCATATGATATCTCTTGATTTTATGTGGATCTACTTTATTATGATCAATATGTTTTATTAGTTAAATTGGAGAGAGAGAGAGAAAGAATATTAAAGTGGCGCGTTTCGAAATTGACCTTGCGCAAATCACTTAGCAAGGAAGTTGAATGAAATTATTTTACGTATTTGATTATTATGTATGTTTTCAACTGATTAATAGTAGTTTTGAAAGATTCAGTTAAGAAAATGGGAAATTAAATGAATTCATCATATAAGTCCGACATAAAAAATTGAAAATAAATTATTAAAATATGTAGAATTATAGTGTTGTACCATTTACATTGTTGAACTTTTAAATTTGTTAGCATTGAACTTTGGTTTTCATTTTAATTATACAACTGAACCATTAAATCGTTAATAGCATGATGTAGCATGATGATGTGGTTAACGATTGCTGAAGTGGCTGATGGTTGTTGACGTGCACACCACACTAAAATGACGTTGGTTTGATCGTGTTGTTAATGATTTAACCATCCAATATATAATTGAAACGAAATTATAATTAATAAAATTGACAGTTCAAAGTAAAAACAATATAATACCTATAGTTCGGTGCTAATGATATAATTTACCCATAAATGTATTTATAGACACCGACGGAATGGTTAAAGCTGAAAATGAGGCTATGATCCTTAAACACCCAAATTTTTAGTCCCGTAAATATTCATTTTATTTACGTTCTATTTGTCTATATTATTCATAATTATAATTTGTAATCATTTTTTTAATTTAAATAGAAATATCTCAATGAATTTTGCCACGTTCTTTTATTAATTTCCACGTTCAGCTTTCCTTGTATGACATTTCATTTTTAGTTGTCCTTTTGTTTTCCTGTCTGCTTCCATTTTTTTTTTAAATTTTTGCCTTGTAAACGAAACAAACAATGAACAAATGAGTTCTGCCACGATTGATGTCTAGGTAGTTCTACAATATTTACAAATAATATGAATTAAATTATAATGTTTTTAATATTTCACTAATTGTAAGGTATGGCTCATAAATATACCGGTAAAGAGGACATGGGATGGAGCGGAGTGAGTGAAGCGATTATGTGGGTTGGGGGTGTGGGGGTTGCGCCCCCGTGGTACGGTACAGGGTTAATTTTGAAATTATGTATCAGGGTTTTCTATTATAAATAGAGATGTAACCTAAACCTATTATCATTGAATAAAAATTTTCTAGCGCCGCCTAGGCACCGAGGACGTAAGCACATTGCCGAACCTCGTTAAAATTCTTGTGTTCTTTCGTTTACTTTGCCCGGTTTATCAACACTAATATATTACTTATAATTAATATATATAATAATAGTTATTGAGCAAGAATATATTCTCATTTTAAAATTGTTTAACAAGAAAAGAAATAAACAACTGAAATTATTTTATTATTATTTTTTTTTTGTAAATATATTCTCATGTTCGCTTATCTAATTATCTTAAAATTATGTAAGATTTGTATTTTTTTTCCACAATGATGTGAATAAATCCTATTTTATATATACTTATTGATTTTTTAAACAAGGATTCATGTATCTTTATTTCATTTGTTATCTATTTTGTGTATTAATCATGATCTTTCTTAATCATTGACAATACATATACCCCGTAAACAAAGTTTAACTCATGATCTCAAGTGAGAACAACATTCTTTTTTTTTAAACAAATTTTAAATAATATGCCTAATTTTACCTAGTGAGTTTAGAACCATGACTTAAAGAAAAATGAGAATTTAAGATAAATAGCTTGATCAACAGACAAATATGCTTGCTCAAAACTACTGATATCACTCATATGTTATTTAATTACTCACTCCATCCCACTAAAAGTGTCTCTTTTAGTTTTAAAATTGTCCCATTCAAAATATCCTATTAAAAATCAACAAAAAACACTTATATTTTATTTTTCAATTATAGGACGAAATGAGTATTATGTTTACTTAAGTGACTATTACACAAAACACACTCTGAAGTAATTACATTAACAAATTATAAAAATTTTACCTCAAAGAAAGCTGATATTTTTTAGGAAAGTTAAAGGATTCATCATATCAAATAACATAAGAGGAATAACATATTTGATCAATTAATTAATTTTTTTTTTGTTTCTCGTATCTTTTAAGTCCTAAATTTTTAGGAACATTATTTCTTCTTAGAGTGACCATCCAGCTCAGTTGGTAGAGCACAATGTTCTTAATCTTGAGGTCGTGGGATCGGTCCCACGGAGGACATTTCATAATTCGGAGATCTTCTACGGAAGTTGCTCTCAACTATGTTGGGGGCAGCCTACTATCTTACCCCTCCCTTACCCCATTACATATGAGAATAAGGGACATCCATTATTTCTTCTTCTAAAATTATTTTTTATTTTTTTTACGTAAGATTAGAATTAATGCATTTAATAAAATTACAACCCTATACTCGTATAGTCAATTTATCGGTAAAATAACGCATATAGAGGCGACCCTTCATACTTGTTCATTATTGGTAGTTTACGTAAATACATAAATTCATATTTTCTTACAAAATATCATAAATTGACAAAGTCGATCGTGTTCTCCCTGTAATGGTGTATTCGTGAATAAGAAAGTTTAAGGGGCGGCTCAATGAAAAGATGCCACCAAAGGGGTATAGATGTCAAAAAACCATTTCGAGATTCCAACAACCTCAACGTGTTCATAGCATGGCCTAACACATGTGTCGATGTAACAAATAGCCTGAATCTTCAAGCAACCGATTTCATTTTGGGTAAAGTACACAAATGGTCATCTAACTATGAAGAGTTTTTTGTTGAGTCCCAAGACTATTCAAGGCTACAAAATGGTCCCTCAACTATATGGCATTGTTATGTTAAATCATCTAATGTTAAAAGTTACAAAATGATCACTCGATTGTTCATGTTTCAAGCTCATCTTTTTCCTATAAATCGATGATCATTTAAACTAGATATTAACCTACTAACTGGGATATGATAAATCATATTTTAATGATGTCTATTGGCCCCCATTGCTTATTAGCACCCATTGCTTATTAGCACTAGCTTGACGGCATAATATAAATGGAGATTCGATAAAAAAAATTACTCAAACGATTATATGATCATATTTTATCATATCATAGTCATTAGATCATCTAACTTAGACTATTGCCAATTTTTAATGAAATAGGACGAGTTTGAAGCGTATGAATAATCGAATTACCATTTTTTAGATTTTAATATTTTAAAGACTTAATAAAAAGTATCCTATAATCAAAGAATTGTTTTACACCTTTTAGTAGTTGAGAGATTCAAGAAAATAACACCCTATAATCAAGGGACCATTTGTGTATTTTACCCTTCATTTTGTTCCTTATCTTTGCTCCTAATTTGCCGCTATCTCGAAAGCTGCCAGGCTCCACACGCATTCTGTTCAAATCCTAAACGCAATCCCAGATTAACTGCTCTCGTAACGTTTTCAACTTTGGCTAATCAAACAAGCAAAGGCAAAGAGCAAATCTTTAAGCTAAGCAACTCACGAGTCAAAGAAAAAGCAACACAGCCTTAAAGGAAACAGAAGTTGCAAGAGCTTCTAATTATCCTCCTCCAAGATTCTCTCAATATCTTCCTCTTCAAAATATCTTCCTTTAATTAGGTGCTTCTCTCCATCAAAGTTGGGAGTTTTGAGTATTCTAAAAATGGTAACTTTAACTTTTGCTCCTGTTTTGCCTGCTAACACAAGACTGTCGGTGTTTGAACTCAATGGACCCCTCTTCGTTTCCAGAAGAAAACCCAAGAAGATGAACCAAGCTGTTGTCCCTGTAATCTTTTCTTTTCCCCCTTTCATTAACATTATTATTATTATTATCATTTTTTTAAGGATTTGATGGGATCAGGTGGCAAGGTTGTTTGGGCCAGCTATATTCGAGGCATCGAAGCTAAAGGTATTGTTCTTGGGAGTTGATGAAAAGAAGCACCCAGGGAAGCTACCAAGGGCTTACACCCTTACGCATAGTGATATAACAGCTAAACTCACTTTAGCCATCTCTCAAACCATAAACAACTCTCAGGTAAATAAATCATTTTCTTCTAAAACAGGGGAAATAGGAGATTTCTCCGCACCTCAGCATAGCGATCGCTTCGTAACATTTTTCAAGGTCACCGGGACACCGCTTCCGCATTTAGTATGATGACTATGGTTGAATAAAGTTTGTTATGAATTGGGGTTTGCAGTTGCAGGGATGGGCAAACAGAATATACAGAGACGAAGTTGTCGCGGAATGGAAGAAAGTGAAGGGAAAGATGTCTTTGCACGTCCACTGTCACATAAGCGGCGGCCATTTCCTGCTAGACTTGTGTGCTAGACTTCGTTACTTCATCTTCTGCAAAGAACTTCCCGTGGTAATATGAATAACCGTAAAATTAGAGGGATTAATTAAGTATTCAATTTTAGAATAGTAAAGGGACTGAAACCGAATTAAGTCATTTCCTGTTAACGTTTTGCTATATTTTTGGGATAGGTACTGAAGGCGTTTGTCCATGGAGATGGGAACCTGCTGAAAAACTACCAGAACTGCAGGAGTCGTTGGTTTGGGTTTATTTTCACTCGAACGTGCCGGAGTTCAACAGGGTGGAATGCTGGGGTCCGCTGGTGGAAGCGCAGCACCTCTAGCGGCGGCGATGGCGGTTGTGATGGGAAAAGACAAGAGGTGTTGGAAGCGAGTGGGAATGGCCTCAGCGGTGCGGAGATGAGTGTAATTGTTGCTTTCCGCCAATGAGCTTGATCCCATGGTCACCAAAGCACCCCATGAAAATGAACAACATGGGACCCAGGCTGTACCAAATCCCAATATCATGGAATGACTTAATCAATAGTTACGAGCTTGATATGTACTTATTAATTTAATTAAATTTATCGATTGTTTTTTCTTTGTTATGATACGTAATGTTTTCTCGTGATCATGGAAAAGATGTAAATAACAGAAAAGTTAAAAAGCATCTGAGTTCTGAACTTCATTATTCTGTCGACATGAATTATTTATATTGCAATAATATAGATACGGGACACAATTTTTAGAAATATATGATATGGGGGTGTTTTTCGAAAATTATCGGTGATCGGTATATTATCGATCTAATACCGGTCAGATTATATTTCTCGATCTAACACTCGTAGCAGTAAATCGCGTCCCCTGAACCGTGTTATATGTTGATTTGGCGTCACTTGGGGTATAGCGCCTCCTGTACCGCGCTATACGCTGACATGGGTTACACGTGTGTATAGCGCGCCCCCTGATTCGCGCTATACGCCACGTAGGGGTATAGTGTGGATCAAGGGCGCGCTATACGTCACGTAGGAGTGAATTATATTTAACGCGGTCCCTGGTCCGCGCTATATCTTTATCTGAATAATTACATATAGCGCGGTGCAGGTACCACTCCTTATATGGTTATAAATACACTTCTCCGCCGGTTAAATTTCTCACACTCCTCGCATCTCTCTCAACTTATAAATTAATACAACAATTCCGTCAACGAGTAATAATTCTGGCAATCTTCTCATATTTGATTTAGAAGTTCGTGCGATTTTTCGTTATAAGGTAATTTTATTATAATTTTTTAATTATACTTATTGTTTATCATTATTTGAAAAAATATTATACTAATTATTTTCAATTAATTTTTATGTTTGTAAAATTAAAAAGAGGCAACATACGTCGAAACAGTTTTGCGGTGCACGTAATAATATAAAATTATATTATTTAAATTATTTACGTTGATGTGTAAAAAATTTATTGTGTTATATTTTCGTTCATATAATTTATTAATCAGGTTGTTTCAGTTATTTTTTTTACAGATATAATATTGTCGCACTTTTAAACTCAAAGAATTGTGCGACTTTCAGCTATTGTTTATTATGATGGTGAAATTCGAGAAGATGAAACCGGCGTTTTTTTCGTATCAAATGAGCGTGTGCGCCAACTCCCAAAAATTGACATCTAACCAATATAACGGTATCCTACATCCGATAAAACTTTCCGGGACACATCCTAGATTATCCGACACAAAGTAGTCTAAGAACCGGAAGCTATCCCTGATATCAATCTCCATCCACCGAAAGCCGCAGTGCCATAGCATCATCCTCAAGTGATCGTGCACTCTCCGCACGGAAGATGGAATGTATGGGTCTCCGGCCTCCACCGCTCTACTAAGGCATAAATAAGGTGTGGTTCTATCTTACAATGACCCTGATATCTACCTATGTAACTAAATCCAGCCTCTACTAAATACGACAAGACACGGCTAGGTATCACTAACTTAAGATTCCTAATAAAAGGATCTAATACACGGTCCTTTTCCTAAAAATAAATAATTATAAAAATTAACTAATTATTACTAATAATTTAAATTAAATTAAAATGTTAAAATGTTACCGTATCAGCAAAGTGTCGAGATATATGATTTCCATCCAAACGAAGTAGACTGCCTTCCATTATATATATGCAAAAGAATTATATTAGTAAAATATTAAATAAAGTAAAATACTTAAATAAATTAAATATATAATATTAAAAATATTATAAAATATACCTTAAGCAGAGAGAGTATTTGAGAGAATTTGGTGTGATAAAAGTGATTGAGGATGGGGGTATTTATAGGGAGGATTGGGGTGTGAACGGGTGGGTAATTAAAGGTATAGCGCGCCCCCTGTACCGCGCTATACCCCACGTGTCAGACAACCAGGTATAGCGCGACCCCTGATCCACGCTATAACCATACGTGGCATATAGCGCGGATCAGGGGCCGCGCTATACCCACGTGTAACCCATGTCAGCGTATAGCGCGGAGCAGGGGGCGCTATACCCCACGTGGCGCCAAATCAACATATATCACAGGACAGGGGCGCGCTTTACTGCTACGGGTGTTAGATCGAGAAATATAATCTGACCGGTGTTAGATCGATAAATATACCGATCACCGGTGATTTTTTGGGAAAAACGCCTGATATGGGGATAATAAATTTACAGCATATAATTTTTTTAAAAATTATAAATAGATATAAAAAATCATAAATAAAATCATCACTTCATAGAAAATTGGTGTAACACCCTAATTTAACCCTATTTAAAATCCTAACATTTGAGATTTTTTAAACCACTAAATTAATTTTAGTGTTCAATTTGAAAATACTGTAAAACTTGTTTCCAGATTCGAAAGGCCTAGAAAGATGAGGGATCAACTGGAAATTTTACTAAAAATTCCTTAAATCCTATCTTAACTCTCCTCCGTCACTTTTCTTTCCTTTATTTCTTTTCTCGCCACGGTCATTTCTTCTTCCTTTTATTTCTCTATTTACAGCAAACATTATTTCGCATGCTTATAAACCCTTATTCTCCATTTTATTTGTTATTTACTTATTTCCAAACCAGATCATCGTCCACACAACTCGTTCACTCATTTTCTTTTGGTTCTTCAATCTTCTTGTCTTTTTTTCCTTCTGTTTCTTATTGTGGTTCTGTACTTTTTATAAAAATTACCTTTGGGGACGTCCCCGAAACATCCCCATATACAATTTTATAGTCCCTAAATTCGATCAGTCGTATTCTATCACCATGGCACGTCTCCGTTACATACCCTAGTCGTCCTCGTACAATCCCCATGCCGAAAACGTATCGAGTATTTGAAACGGGCTCCTTTGTCGTTCTCATGCTTCATAGGAAATAATTGAGTGGGGTCGTCATATTTTTGTTTGGTTTCGTCTACCTACATTATATCTGAATCTAAATCAGTCTCAACCTTCCTTCTTTACCGGCAAATTTGCTCCGGTCTCAACCTTCATTCTATACTGGTAAATTTGCTCCGATGGGTAAAAAGTGAAGGTAAAGAGTCTTATGATATCGGGTACTCCGTCTCTTTTTCAAAAGACATCATCTATTTCAATCGTCTTCTGACATCTACCGTAACTTTTATCGTCTTAAGATGTCTTTGCACGTCCACTGTCACATAAGCGGCGGCCATTTCCTGCTAGACTTGTGTGTTAGACTTCGTTACTTCATCTTCTGCAAAGAACTTCCGTGGTAATATGTACTTATTATTTAATTAAATTTATCAATTGTTTTTCTTGTTATTGATACGTAATGTTTTCTTCGTGATCATGGAAAATAAGTAAATGACAGAAAAGTTAAAGAGCATTTGAGTTCTGAATTTCATTATTCTGTCGACATGAAATTATCTATGATACGGGATAGGAAAACGGTAATTTTTAGAAATACAAAATACGGGGATAATAGGGTATGATACATATATATATATATATTTTAAATTATAAATATATATAAAAAATCATAAATAAAATCATCACTTCATAGAAAATTGATGTAACACCCTAATTTAACCCTATTTAAAATCCTAACATTTGAGATTTTTTAAACCACTAAATTAATTTTAGTGTTCAATTTGAAAATACTGTAAAACTTGTTTCCAGATTCGAAAGGCCTAGAAAGATGAGGGATCAACTGGAAAATTATACCAAAAATTTCTTAAACCCTATCTTAACTCTCCCCCGTCACTTTTCTTTCTTTTATTTCTTTTCTCGCCACGGTCATTTCTTCTTCCTTTTATTTCTCTATTTACAGCAAACATTGTTTCTCATGCTTATAAACCCTTATTCTCCATTTTTGTTTGTTATTTACTTATTTCCAAACCAGATCATCGTCCACACAACTCGTTCACTCATTTTCTTTTTGGTTCTTCAATCTTCTTTGTCTCTTTTTTTTTCTATTTCTTATTTGTGGTTCATATACTTTTTGTAAAAATTACCCCTGGGTCATCCCTGAAACATCCCCATATACAATTTGATCGTCCCCAAATTCGATCAATCATACCCTATCACCATGGCACGTCTCCGGTACGTACTCTAGTCGTCCTCGTACCGTCCCCGTGCCGAAAATGTATCGAGTACTTGAAACGAGGCTCCTTTGCCGTTCTCATACTTCATAGGAAATAATTGAGTGGGGTCGTCATATTTTTGTTTGGTTTCGTCTACCTACATTATATCTGAATCTTAATCAGTCTCAACCTTCCTTCTTTACCGGCAAATTTGCTCCGGTCTTAACATTCGTTCTATACAGGTAAATTTGCTCCGATGGGTAAAAAGTTAAGGTAAAGAATCTTAAGATATCGGGAACTTCGTCAATTTTTCAAAGGAAATTATCTATTTCGATCGTCTTCTGACATCTACCTTAACGTTTATCGTATTTCAAAAAAAAATATTTTTTTTACTTTCCCTGTTTCAGCCTTTTTTCCTAAGCTTCATCGGAGCATTTTTACCCTTCTTTGTCTATGGAACTATTGACCTGCCCCAAGTTCACGTTCTTGTGTTTTTAGACACCATTAAATAATTTGATGATCATTTAGTGGACATGAATTTATGGGAAGCATCAGAACGAACAACTAAAGTGATCCTAAATTATAGAAAGTATGGGGACTCAATTCTTTAAACAAATCATATTTTAAATAGAATATCTAAAAAAAATATTGCACTCTATACGAATTATGAAAAGATTATACTCATGGCCTAAAATATATAAAAGTATAGAGGGGTCTTACAAAAGTTAGATGATCTTTTTTTTAAATAGACTCAATATTATAACCCCTAAACCCAACCTATGCATCACGACTAAGTATAGTGAATTACATTAAACATTTCTAAAACATTTTTAAACCCTTTAAAACTAAGTAATGAAAAACATAATTTAAGAATAATAAAGTTCAACTGAGTAATGATAGCATAAATCATCATGTATAAGTATGAAATACCGAATAACCAGCATTGTATACATCAGTAATAAAAACATAATATATCATAAAACAAAATATAGGCACATTTTACCCGTAATAAAGATAATCTGGAAGATGGAAACATTACAACAAA